GTAAACGAATACGGTAAAATGTCATAGATAGTTATAAAAAGCATGAAACTATACCAGTCCAGGATTAGTGATCCCTGCAACCCGACCCTGGGTCAACGACAGAAGCCCTGCGACACCTGACACTATCATAGATACACCGTTCTTTAATTTACTTACAATTACATAAAAAGCTGTTAGTAAAGCATTCTTATAGAGCAATTAGCAGTGTTGGCTTCGAACCCCGACAGTACTTATAACACTCGCTGTGAACAAAAACATCGTGAAACCGGCATAACGAGATAACAATACAGCTTGTGTCAGGCACAGAACAGATCACCCACTTGCCTATTATAAGAAACAAATACAGAAGTTTGAGGCCAAGAAATTAAATGGAAGCGCCACTGGGTTTTTTTTAAGGCAGTCGTTACCCTAATTCCCTATTACGATAGTGTGTTAAAAGATTGATTGAGCTGATAATCTATTTTGATTTAGAAGGTAGAAGAAGAAGAAGCAAACTTCGATGTTTTCCTCCACACGAGTGTGCTAGTTTTACTAGCTCTGTTGATCAACGTAACGCCAACTAACGCAGATTTTCCAATTGTCGTCTTCAAACACTTTTAGTAATATTTTAATAGGTTTTCTAGTAAAATTTAACCTAACACCTTAAAAAAACTAAAGAACTTAGAATTGTAAGCAATGGGCACTCCTTGTGCAAGCATCTATCATAAATGCTACGGACAATCTAATTTGTAGGCCATTCCTGGAGAGGAGTGTTGGAGAAGTTGTTTGTAATGTCTGCAGCTGAGTTTCATCATCGGACGTCGAGGCAGAAAAGGAAATTCCACCCGTAATCATCACCTCAACGTCCGTCGTTCCACAACTGCACGTTTTTTTAAGACAATTTTTGCCGCGCACCACCACTATGTGGAACCAGCTGCCCACTGAAGTATTTGCGAACCAATTCGACTTCGGTCCTTCAAGAAAAATTTAATCTAATTTAATTCTTAAAATGCCAGCAACGCACTCGCGAGCCCACTGGCATTGAGTGTCCATAGGCGGCATGTTGCGTGACACATCACGCAACATCAGATCACGTATCACTTAAAAAAAAAAGAAACGGTCTCCTAAGTCATCAAAGCCGCTGATACTATACTAACAGCCTTCACGCAAAAATATTTTGGCATCTTTGGCGCACAAAAAAGTCCGTGACTATTAAACAATTCCTCTTATTCCTTTTTTTAGTCTAAATTTTTCTATAGACATGTTTTTTTAAATTGAGACTCGCAATATGATTGATTCATACATACATGATATAGGAACTGCAATACCTAACCCATAGCAAATATAAGTGAATGTGGGGGGTTTGTGTTTGAAGTAAAATCTTTATTTGTATTGCTTTAGATTAAGGATTCTGCACTTCTCGCACGCATCATGTGTCTTTTTTTTTTTTTAGTTTTCTCTTAACTAGGGTTGCCTGGAAGAGATCGCTTATTAGCGATAAGGCCGCCCGCTGCATCCCTTATAATTTTTATGTATTGTGTTTCTTATATTATTAGCAACGAATTGTAAATAAATAAATAAATAAAAATAAATAAAATCTTTATTAAAGGAAATACTCAGATCACTTCGAAGGTTTACGAGTTAAATATTATATAGCATGCTTATTTGCCTTGGGAAATTTCTTTTAATTTCCAAACAACAAATATACAGCATTTAAAATATACCTCAATGTAGGTAATAATAATAATATAATAAAAAATGGATAAATAGGAAACAAATTTTAAAAGTTTGGTCCCTGTGGCAGTGTACCTTTAACGCTGGCAGCATTTCCTCGCTGTATTGAGTCCTCAGAGTTCAAGTCATAAGATTTTAATTAACAAACAAAAAAAAGCGGTCTAAAATTAGGGCTTGTATATATTTTTGTATCTTAAAAAAAACAAAAACTTTTCTAAAAATTAAAATTAAAATTTTAGGGTGGACACCCCTTATCACTTAGGGGTTTTAAAGATAGATAGTAGCCGATTCTGACTTGCTGAATATGCAAAAAAAGAACCTTATTTTGCAGGAGTTTGGTAAGGAAATTGTGAATTTTATATATAAAACTACATAAATTTTAGGGGTAAACTCTCATAGAAGCTTGAAAAATCTGAAGAACCTCATTATGCGTAGAATTTATAATAAAACTAGATATAAGTAGATTAGATTTTCCTTTATATCTGAAAGGAGAAAAAAAGATGCTCTGGAAATGTGGTGTTGAAGGCGGATGTTTAGGATTCCCTGGATAACAAACGTGTCCATACTAAGGACGGTTACAGGTAAAAAAACAGTCTTTCGACACTTTGTTACCAACGCATCCTGAGTTCTTTTGGACATTTAACACGCAGAGATGCAGAAAGTTTACAAAAACTTAAAGTACCTAAGTGGCAGAGTGGAAGACCGATCAAATAAAGTGCTAAATGGATCTTTCGTTAATGAAAACTAATATAGCAGAGGGAGCGCATATTTAAAATATATTTTAGTTTTCTATTTATACATTATAATTAATATTTCATGGTGCTCGTGTAAGTGGGAGATTGTTTATCAGAATGCAAATCATAAAATGACTCCTTCACCGACTGATTTGAGAGCGACCCGCGGGCGGGGGAAAAACCGGGTGTGTGTTTCGAAAAGTGAGTTACAGAATCGCAGGGCAGGCTGGAATATTGTAAACACCCTATATTCTTATTAATACGTGGGTAACACTGAAAATGTTTAGAACTGACCAGTTAGAAACATTGCTTATGAAAAAAAAATTGAATTTAAATTTTAGAACTCTTTGGTAACCTAATGTAGTATATTGCATTCATTTGTCATTTGTTTTTGTGAATTGGCGGCAAATTAACTCTTGTTACACGTGAAACTGAACCTAACGCAAGAAAAGTTTCGTTCAGTGATTTATTATGACTTTCGTTGTGGGCTTACTCAACATCAAAGCTATGATAGGCTGCGACTAGCATTTCTTAATGAAGCCACATCTCGTGCTACTATATACAATTGGTTTAACGAGTTTAACCGTGGACGTAGCTATCTCAATGATGGGACATCCTTTAACAGCGACTACTGAAGATAACATCAGTGCGACGCATGATAGAGGAAGATAAGAGAGTGACCTATCAGCAGATACGGGCAAGCCTAGGCAATGGTATGAGTCAAGTTCAAAATATATTACACGAACATTTAGGCGTCAGGAAGCTTTGTACCAGATGAATTCCCCATACTTTTACCGACGACCAGAAACACCTTCGCATGGACTGGTGTCGCCAAATGATAGATAAATTCAACGGCGGTGACTCAAATGCTGTATTTGATATCAGCACAGATGATGAAAGCTGGATATATTGCTACGAACCCAAAACTAACGATAGAATTCGTGGTATTCGCCTTATGAGCCCTAAAGATGCGGTGAAAGCGTACGAAAATAACATAGAAGAGACCCCTAAAGAAGAATGGGCCCACTGCTTCTCTCAGTGGTTCCATCGAATGCGACGATGTATAGAGTGGAACGGAGATTACTTCGAAAAACATTAAAAGTTACTACATTAAGCCATTTTTCATTTTCTAAAAATTTTCAGTGTTACCTACGGAGTTTAAATAATAATATGTATTTATAATATACGTACCTAAGTTTGGTTACGTATCTATAGTTAAAATGCCCGAAAAGACACATTCGCAGGTAAGATCACTAAGAATTAATAAATTAAACACAATACTGTATTTTATATGCATATATTCGGATTCAATATTTCAATAGCTATCAATTAATAATAATCAATACAACTTAACTAAAAAAAATACACTGACTCTCGAACTTAGTACAATAAACTGTACTTAACCCTAACTTATCTATGTCCAAGCATAAAAGTACTATAAGTTACAATTTTATTACATTTCATTCTACAATCTCCATAAATAAAACCTATAAGAATTGTATGTAAATAAATGTACTAATTTCGTCATTGAACACTTCAAAATCATTTATTTCGAAATTAATACACTCTACACAATCTAATAACCTCTCGGTTCATCATTTCTTACAGTGTTTAAATGTAACATAAATTCATTTGACAGTTTTCTCGAAAAAAACCGTAAAATTTCGAATTAAACAGAAAATTTGTATCAAATTGCGATTTAACCTAAATTAAAACTATTATAAGTTATTTTACACCGACTGTACAATTATTTGAAAATGAAATGTAAATCACAGCATTCTGCCGACAATTTAGGAATAACCACAGCTATGTACAGAATTTGTTGAGAAAATGGCGCGAAACGCAAAACCTAATTGAGTCTATGTGTATCTCCTCTATTGTTTATGGTTAATATTTTTGTAAATACGTAAAAAAACATATTAAAACCTCATTTCTATACATAACCATGGTGACTTAACTAATTCACATATACAATCGCACATTTACAAATTCATTTAAAAATAAAAATTCTTATTCTCTATTTACAATTATAACGCGATTGCGATAGTCACTAGACGTAGCCTAATTAAATGATATGACTTGGGAATGTACATAATTGCAAAACATATAAACTGAGCCAGTTAGGCCTTAAATTATTCGTTGAAATATAAAGCCGTAAAGTAAAGTCTTGGAGCGATTTGTAAAAATGAATTCGGACAAATTTTGATACTATCTTAATAATGTGAATACAGTTTTACGAGATGTGGAAATAGTATCACAGTTTGTCCAAATCAAAATTTACACAGCTTAGACGAATCTCCTTGGTATCTGAGAAATTTATCAAAATAACAATCGTCTTGGTCTACGAATCGATTCTGATGTGTATACCGCATTGTTTCTAAACTTTCAAATTAAAGAAAGCATTTTCACCTCAGTCAAACGGTACGGAACAAAAAATGGTTTAATTAAAATGAAAATGAAGGAACACGCTCGAAAAGTGTGAGCCAAAAGCGATTATTTCTCTGATAAATTTGCAAAACCTATTTACAATAACCTAGAGAAAGACTAGATATACTACACCATATTTATGCCGTATTTTTCGGGCGCGAAGTAACTGTTGCCAGAGTTTGAAAAGTTCGTGATCTGTGATGCTTGAAGCATGCTGAGATGTGGGGAGTTTTGGGATTGGTTCTCTGGCGACTCTGGGCCCGAGGAGAGGATGTTGTGTGAAGGCCAGGCGGCCGGTGGTGAGGGGTTTCCGAAAGACACTTGGTTGTAGAGCTGGTTGCCGTTCGATGTCAGGTTGTGGCCGTGATGACTGCCGTGAGACTGATTCACTGAAGCACCGTTAAAGTACTCCATCTGAAAGCATGTTATAAGTTTAGTAAACGAAATCATACTTCGATTCTTTGAATTTTTTTTTTAATTTGTAACTTATTTATAGCGACAAAGATTTATGGACTTACTTTAAAAGCTAGGTTATTTATTTATAAATAAAGCTATTGCAGCGGAATCTCTATAACTCGAACCTCGTTAAGTCGAAAAAATTGCTATTCCCATTCAGCAGTTACATCATATATATCTCGAAGTTCTTGTTAAGTCGAAAACTCGTTAACTCGATTTTTTTTCATTTCCCTTGATATTCGAGTTATAGAGATTCCCTGTATATGATTATGTAATATTTTCAATGGGTTACAGATTCCTTACCTGACTAGGATAATATGGGGAGTTATACGCGCTCTGCCCATAACCCTGGTGATGATGCGAGCTCGAGTAGCTCCTTATATAATCCGAGCTGCCCGGCCAGTGGAAGCTGTTGTAGCTGTCCGGGTGGTACACGTTCCCTGGACCGTTGATGCTTTGAGGAGTGATTGGGGGCGATGGAGTCGTCATTATAGAGGAGTTAGACCCTAACGGAGTCAGGTTACCGGTCAGACGCGAGCTGTACTGGTCTTTAACTAGGTTACTGCCAAAACTTTTCTCTGAATAGTCCACTTTGCTAGAGTAATCTAACCTCTTTGGACTCGAGTACAACTCCTGTTTCGGTGTGACCCCATAAGAATGAACGTTGAGAGTATCTGATGGTGACGAATCCTTTCCACTGATCCTCAGGTCGTTTGAGTTATAGTGGTGTAAGGATAAGTTTTTGTTTAAGGGTGATGTGTCATAGTTAGGGGCTGATTCTTTCTTGCAGATGACATTGATCGGAGGGCTAACTGACGTTGTTGGTGTGATGGGGAGATTTGGGGAAGAAGTTGTGATGCTGGAAGAGTTAGGCGTGGTTAAACTCGAGCTTGAACTGGTTAAAGTCTTGGATGTCGAGATTTTAGATGAGGAACTGCTTTTGATTGTGTTACTGGATGATATGGTTTTGGAACTGGATGATGATTTACTGGATATCTGAGTGTTGGTTTGTTGTTGGAGCTGCTGACGACATTTCGCACGTCGATTCTTGAACCACACCTGTGGAAGAAAGTAAACTTTAATATATATTTGAAAAATGATTTAATCCTAATTTATCTCCATTTCTAAAGATATTAAATTCGCTAGTTCATCCCATAATCGGTGTTAATGACTAAAAGATTTTCTACTGAAAATTTCGTCTTTTAGTGTAATTTTTTTATATAATGTATATATTAGTATACAGAGCAGTGTTGGCCTAGTGGCTTCAGCGTGCGACTCTCATGCTTGAGGTCCTAGATTCGATCCCCGGCTGTGCACCAATGGACTTTCCGTCTATGTGCGCATTTAAACTTTGACAAATAAAGATATACTTAAACCTATTTTTAACACGTATGGAGGCTTACTTTTTATATACATAACTATTTCAAAACACAAGTAGGTGATCAGCCTCCTGTGCTTGACACACGCTTTCGACTTAAAATAATAATTTTGAGGCGAAAACACTTGGCTACAATTTCACTTGATCGATTCATTTATTCAAATTCAAATCAATTGGGCTGGGTTGGCGATATAATTCACAAATACACATAACAAACATAGGGAGAAACTGAGTCCAGTGTTATAATTATGTTTACTTATTGTTACCATCTGGTTATCCAATATATGTTATTTTAACAGCATGGTGGTCCTGCTCCATTGGACACTCAAACTAGAGAAAATCAACTGGTTTCTAATCTAGTCTATAGGTTTATATTTACTTTTTTTTTTAAATAAATCAGCTTTGTCGTAAATCACACACTGTTTGACTGTAATTTTATTATTTATTTTTTTATAAAGAATAATGTATAATCTATAGTTGCATTTGTGAATATGGGAGCATTACTTATCTATATAATAATTTAGTTATCTGCTGCATTTTTCTTATAACACCATTCGCCTATTTTATTTTAGTATAAGTAGTAGTTTTTTTTATTTTAGGTAGTTAATGGTCATTACATATAATAATCAAATTAATGTATACAAAATATTGTAAAAACTATTTTAAAAGAGTAAGTGTGTTTTTAACTTATAATTTTGACATTCAAAGGCCTAATTGAAATAAATGATTTGACTTTTGACTTTTTGAATCTCCATTATCTAACCCGTTAACTTCAATACATAAATTATTAGTAGATTCTAAAAGTATTACGTCTTTTAACAATGTACAAACCATATACAAACTTTTTCACATAATTTAATCATTCTTTGTACACAAATATAATTCTAAGCATTCAGAGAATCTACCATATCACAATTAATTACGAAAGTCTGACATCTGTTGCATTGTGAATTGATTCTTTGCTCTTTTTCATAAATTAACTAACGAACAAGGGCGGTAATCCCACAGTTAGTATTATAAGCACGCGTAAAACTACCGATTCTGTATTGCTATTGTTAAAATTGCACGGTTATGTACCTATTAAACAAAGTTGTATAATCTATATACAAGCTCTGGCATGCAATATTTAAGACCGAGTCTGAGTACAGATAAAAATTAGCGCAAGTCATGCCATAGACAAATTTTTATCTGTGTCAAGGGCCCGCTAACGATATACGCAAAAGGGCACGTTGCACAAACAGAGCGCTTATTAATATTATCTATGCTTGGATCAAAACGATCCAATTACTGTCCCCTTTGGATTATTATCTACGGTAATTAGTTCAGATATTAGATCCATCTATGGTAACTGGTTTCGTCTATCCTTTTATTTATTGTTTAGGTAGCTAAGACTTTTGAACTTGTTCAAAAGTTGTTCAATGTGTCCGCTTGTTCAACATAATTTTACTACTAACTAATATATTATGCGCAGTAGGTAGTGTTTTAAATGAATAAAAGGTACGCCTCAAAGGTCTTAAAAATAAGTTTAGGTATATCTTTTACTTGTCAAAGTTTATTTGTGCAAGAAACAAAATTATTTGTGTAATACGAATAGTAATAATTATTAATAAGCACATTGACGAACTGAAACATTAAACCATTCAACAGTTAACAAATGTTCCATTATTTAGTTAAATCGAATAAAAAGCGATCAAAACCCCAAATAAGAAACAGATATTCACAATCAGATAACCTTCTATCAGACCATTAACGATCACAACGTCTGCACTCTTTGATGTCTGGCAGCTAAATGAAGAATCTTGTTATCATGTTTAACGTTCCGGCGAACAATGGGGGATTCGATTTTCAAATTTCAAATTTTGAACGTAATTCGATTGGCAGCTAATGCGGTATTCGTGTTGGTGTAAATGGCACGAAAGGCGTTAACGGAGGGTAGTTCTTAAGTTTATGATGCATTTAAATCATAAATCAAAGTTATAATACATACATAAATGTATAAATTAATATTTTTGACACTATATTATGGGTACTCGTCATTGCATTGGTTTAAACTAAATTATGATAAAAATCACTTTACAATTTTACAATATTTAAGCGGATTATTAAATTAGATTAATTGATTTCCATTAAAGTAATATTAGTAGTTTATAATGATTAAAATACTTTCGTGTAACCGTTCACTACCGTATTTATAAATACCGATCAATAAATATAATTGCAACATATTAATACGCGGATTAAAATTAAAAAATTAAGTACTGTAAAAATTTACATATGCTAATATTAGTTAATTAATTGAAAATCCTACAAAACATGTTAATACGTTAACCATTATCTTAAGCTTTAAGTACTAGCGACTTTCATCCCTGAGGTCGTAGGTTCGATTCCCAGATATGCACCAATGGACTTTCTAACATTAACTCGAACGGTGAAGGAAAACATCGTGAGGTAACATGCCTTAGACCCAAAAAATCGCACCTACTTGCCAATTAGATTAACAAATGATCATGAAACAGATATAGAAATCTACGGCCCAGAGCTAACAAGGTTGTAGCGCCACTGATTATTATTGTTTAATTATTGATTTTCATTGCTTTAACAAATTTACAGCATAAAACAATTTTTAAAACAGAGCAGACTGATTTAGTTTATGATTAAAGTAAATTTTATTCAATAATTAAGTATTATTTTATCAATACAATACAATGGCGATTAAACTAAATTCTGATTGCTTCTGATTGCTACCTAACTAGCCTTCGTCTCAAGTGGATACCGTATATTTTGGTAAGATTTGCAGTGACTGCATCAGCAATCGTTGTTTCATACGAAAACCTTGCTTATAACGATATTGGTGAAAACTATACAAAAATCCGTTTGGTATTTGAGTTTATCGCGTAAAGATGCGGCCAGAGGTCTTCATTTCAACTTATAAATAAATCCTCTAAAAAAGAATCTTATTCAATAAAAAGCTAGATTTTTACTTAAGCAACCTTGTAGTCACTTAAAATCATAACGTAAAATAGTCTTAATTAATTCTCACATACCTGAACCCTGGACTCGGGCAGATTTATCTTTAGAGCGACTTCCTCACGCATAAAGATGTCTGGGTACCGAGTTTTGCCAAATAAAGCTTCTAGGACGTCAAGCTGCGCGCGAGTGAACGTTGTTCTCTCGCGTCTCTGCTTCCGCGGATTAACACCTGTAGACAAGAAAATATTTTTATTTAAGGCAAATGGAAACAAAATAGTACAAAAGTAGTGTCTTCTCCTAAAGTAGTGCCTGTAAGTAGTGTTATTGTACCTCTCTAATTTTAAATTTCCTTTGTAGTAAATGAGGTTAGTTTTATTTATTAGTATTAAATAAGGCTAGATCGTAACATTAATTCTGTCTTTACGCAGAGACAATACACCAAGCCAATATATAAACATTCAAATATAAATTATTTAAAAAAATGTGGCTATTCATTTGACAACAATTTACGAAGTAAATTTAACTAAGTAAGTGCACAAAAAAGAAGAACAATAAAAACAGTAACTGACCTTAAAATAGAATACCTAAAATATATTATTAAAAGGAGTCCCTTTAGGCAAGGCTCTGAAGATTCTGGCAGCGATTCAAAGGGACTAAATCTTTGTCCGAGGTAGCTGCCAGCTCTTCGGTCTCCTGCGATGTTGACTAACCTTTTTTAACCGAATTAACATTCAATTACAGTCTTCGTCAAATAGATCTGAATTGAATTGTACTGAAGACGCGCCTCTGAATTCCTCACTAGCGCCACCGAATATTTTATTATTTTATACATGCATATAGGAAACTGTATAACTTTTAAAAACATAAGCACTACAAAAACGTGTACTTTTTGTAACCTATGAGTTTTGCAATTTGAAATATCTTAATTAAATTTATGCATATTAATGCCGTGTGAATATAAACAGGTTATACGTTTTAAAACCTAGATTACCACTTAGTCGATAATTGAAAATCATTTTATATAAAGAAGACTGCATTCTTTATTTATACATATATAAAAAAATGTATCGTCAATAAATAGGGTCACCCATCATTTTGCCAAAGGAACATTAATTCATATCATAAAATTCGTTAAAAACATACACAAAATCTCGTTGATTTTTTACTAACATATTTTATTGAGGAGCAAACTTTAGCAACTTTGAAGCCCTAACTTAATATATGGGATGCTGCTTGTGTGGACACGTTAGGCCCCGTCTCACCTCCGTCGGACAAGCAAAATCCCTGGGGCGGCCACAGAGCAGACGGAAAATAATAAACTGCTCAAATAGAAGAGTCTTTCCTCCAACTTCCATTTTGTTCCCATTGGAGTAGACTCTTGGACCGTGAGGTTCAAGTGCACAGGCGCTAATTAAAGATTTATGTTGGCGTCTGGTACATAGTACCGGTGACCCCAGAGCTGGTGCTTTCCTTGCTCAACGAATAAGTACCTATCGCAATACAGCGAGGAAATGCTGCCAGCGTTAAAGGTACACTGCCACTGGGACAATACTTTTTAAATTTGTATGTTAATTTGTAGGTTAAGTTGTAAATACTGTATATTTGATTGTAATAATAAATAAATTTTATATATTATTTATGCATATTTATAATCAGATAATAAACATACGAAAATGTCTTAATTAACGACTGTCATTAATTACAGAATCACGCCATAAAAACATTGTACTTGAATCTTTTTCCTATATTACGAGTAATTTAAAAATATAAATTAAGCCTTGAATTATATGTTGTACATACATCATTTACGCATTTAAAATTTTCCGGAAAATCATTTGTTATTTTATATTTAATCATTAAGTAGCAAGGTTTAGATTTTACGTTAGCTTAAGTTAAATATTTTGAGCTGGTAACATTGCATCGCCTTGAACTTAGATGAAATTCTTAAAGTTTTGTCTTCTGTAGCTGCCAGTCTAAGAATAGTGTTGACCAGTGGATTTAGCGATCTTATCACTGAGGTCGCTGGTTGGATCCCCGGCTATGCACCAATGGACTTTCTTTCTATGTGCGCATTTAACATTCGCTCGAACGGTGAAGGAAAACATCGTGAGGAAACCGGCTTGCCTTAGACCGCGGGTGTCAGGCACAGACTGATCACCTACTTGTCTATTAGATTGATGAAACAGATACAGAAATCTGGCCCCAGACCCAAAAAGGTTGAAGCGCCACTGATTTCTTTTTATGTCTCACTCTACTTGGAGGTCGCTGAGACTCTTAGTTCAGAAGTCTTTACTTAATAAGAGCCATTGGCTAAACCAAGAGATTTGAATTATGGATATTTCTTTCTCTATACGTAATTCACTACTAGCGAGGGAATATGAGGAGACCAGCTGGTTGACGAAAATTAATAAAAAGGCACAGAACACATGGAAAATTATCTTAAATAAATGTACCAACGTCCATTCAAATAAAGTAAATATACAATCACTCAATAAAATAATAGAAATAATGTTCACTATGAATGGTGAACTAAACAAATACTGCTCATTTGTCGTCCAAAAATGTTTTACAATGTCACAGACAAGCTAAGCATAGATAATTAATCATAACTACTTAACTCGTTTAATCAAGTTTTTAACAACTGGTAACATTTTGTTAACATAATGTGTGATAGATGATAGTCTAGTCTATGGGGATTACATAGAATATACGACAAAGGTTAGAAATCAATTACGAATACAATTTAAAAGATTGAAGATATTTTAAACTTTTTTTGCATAAATTTGACCATGACCTATAGTTATAAACATATTTCTTTAATAATTTAGAGGATGTTTGGCAAAAAACACGTATATGAATTCACGTAATACATCTCTAAACACGTCAATAATTTTCCTCTAATAAATAAGCCGTCGGAATATAGGAAGCAGGAAGAATTTTATTGGCAACATTATCAATTTTTACTAAGTAATTAAATTCAGAACATTCGGTGTGGAAGGCTCGGGATCCTCCAGTGAAATTCATACGAAGTGGGTTTACTCCATACTCTATACCTCACCAGAGAGCTAAAGGACGTCGGGATATTTTAATTAAATGTATATAATGTTCGTACGACATTAAAATATTTTTGAACATTGCAACAATGGCGGTGTCAAAATTTAATTCCACATGCAACTCGACTCAGCTGGGGCGAAAAATTGTTATTAGACTTTTCAATCGCGCGCTCGCTTACGGATTAAAAATAAAATAATACAACATTCATTCGAAACTAGTCCAAAACCGACCCCATTCAAATCCAAACAAACATTTCATACGAAAACTGTCACATTACCTATCCATAGAAAAGTGAAAATAAATAGACATATATCCGTCTCACTTACACGCTTGTGAAGCGAGGAGGATAGAGCGGGACAGATGCATTTGAATTGTCATTGTTAACAATGGGGGCTTGAGCCTTAATCCTCATGACATGGCGGTCTTTCTTTTTTAGCGTAGGCCCTGATATTATCTTTACGGTTGATTTTTGATAGGGCTAGTAGCTTGTTTATGCTGGCTTGTCTATGACTCCTAATGGTGTATTCGTGTAGAGATCTGGTTACGACGCCGATAATTCTAAAAGGTGCGGTTGATTGAGGCGATAAAGTTTAAGCTCGTGGAACCAATGATTTGGTAACTGATTTCTCTGAAGACGCGAGGTGGTCTTAACGGTAGCAAGTGATTATCAATTTTCATATGAAATATTTATGATGTTCAAATTACGCTCAGTCATTGGTCACGTACGTAACGTAAAAAATAAATTATTTAAAGATACAAAGGTTATAAAATTCACTAAACATAATCGATAAATCTTTTGACGTGACAACGTCTTATAATTTGATGGAGCCGGCTGCACGCACGAAAAAACATGACGCATGCGGCGTTACCTCGCTCTGAGGCGTTCCATTTAAGGTTTGAAGTGCAAGCGAGAGCGCAGAACGAGCGACAAAGAGGCATAATCGTCCTCCGCGTTCGACAGCGTTCGACATCTTTATAGTGTATAAAGTATATATCGTATTCTATCGATTATATTGTAATCGATCAATTCAATCGTGATGTCCATTTACCTCCTTCTCTATATCCATACAAAATGTCTATCAAACTAATAAAATTAAAATTTTCTTTTGAAAAATGCATATTTTCTTATGACGTTGTCACGTTCAACTATCGTCAGTAAACCGACATTACAGACAACCGATTATTTTTATTAAGAAAAATCCACTGACGCTCTAAGTCTTAGCGTCAGATTGTTGATAATTTTCTTTAGGCTTAAACATGTACATATGTGTTTAGAGGTCTGTGCCAAGCACGTGCACGCCGGTACTGTTGTTTTGGACGTGCTCCGTTGCTCACAATTTACTTCGAACACACAAATTTCGGGCAATTCAACCAAATATTCTGGTCAAAATTACCAAATATGATTATATTTTAGAAAATTAATCTACCAATTTAATACATAAATTAGCTATTAGAACGCTCGCCACGTGCCTAAAACATCAACACACCACAACCGGTGTTGCAACGCTTATTATTTTCCCGTTTTTCACAGCATTTGACCCCAGCAGCTCGACGCATCTATTTTAATGATGTGTAAAATACTATGGGGGAGCGCAGCTGCGATGTAAAATTCACCCCTATTCACAAAGAGGTTTTCACTTGTGGCAACATAGAAGATGCTGGGCTGTCAACTGTCAATTTACAAAGGGTGCGGATTTAAAGAGGGATTGTTTTGAGATATTTGCTACTAATTAGTTATAACGATAGTATCTTAATGATGCAGAATTAAATTGGCCAGATTATTGTTCAAAAGAATAACGGATTATCTATATAATATATCGATAGCCTTTGTTGAAGCCTTTGTTAGCAATTTGGAAGGGCAAATTGAATGTAACTTTTCTTATTTAAACGAAAAAAGTGACAGTAAAATTCTTATATTGTTAACTTTTAACGACCAAGTCCTATATCTAAATACAAGAAGTAATTATTACGGTTCGTATATTTTTTTTTTGTCAAGTTTGTCTTAGACGAAAATCTGAAGACATTACATACCTAATCAAATTTAATTCATAGAATACATTTACTCCCCCGAATTATATTAGGAAGAGGTAACACATAACGTAATATATCAGGCTATTCACTGAAATGAGGGTTGCCAACTCATAAATCATGTTAACACATAAATTGTGCTTGCAACACTGCCCTAAGGGTAATAACTTCAGGAGGGCAACACCGGCTCTTACTTAACGAATTCGACGTTATGATATTCTGTTAAGGTTTTGTATCGTGTGGCATATTTAAACTTAGGGAACTTAGGGGTGTGATAACGGAATTGTTGCGAAATTGAAATTTATCTAATAAATTATTGGTTGTTTGTTACAGTGTGATTGTGGGGCGTTTATTTGAGAAAGCTGTTGTGTATTTGCACAAATTTGGTGGAAGTAGCCACTGAATGGATTATCTTAGGAATGCATATATAAAATAGCGTATCAATTTTCGCGTAATAGATTTTAGATTGTAGAGAATTTAGATATCGCGTACAAGTCGTATGCATATCTTCGATTACAACCAGATATAGTCACGTACAGGCCTTTTTTACCACTTATTTTTTGGAGGCACGCTTATTAGTAAGTTCAGAATTTTCTTGATGATTTCAAGTGAATAATTTTCATTTAAAAATCTTATTTTATACAGGTTAGGTTCTAGGTTCTAGTTTATTTATCAAATATGTCTAGACAAAGAAGTAATTTAACTGTATTATTTTGATTTAAAGACAAATCGTAAGACTAGGGACGGAATGTCCCCAAGAGGCACGATACGCCCCATAAGTTATTCTAAGAGTCCCCAAACGTCTTTGGTACTCAAAGATAAATCCGGACACTCCGTTCGGATCTGTTGTCATGACTACTTTATTTTGTACGTTATCATACAATCCTTATCATATAAATGTAATAAATGCACATATTAACTGTTTTCAAATAATTATCACTCTTTATTTAATCAGCATTACGATGACTGGCATTTTACTTTACAAGGAGTCCATTCATTTTGTAATGGTCAAAATCCAAAGGTTTCATTTCAAAGTATTTTCATATTTTATATGACTGCAAAATAATGACTCCTGTAAGAAACGATTATTGAGTATAAGGTTCGTGATTTTATGGGAGGAGTAAAAATCCTTTTGGTTTAATTTTTATATATTTTTCTGTCTATTTCTATGCCTATAAAATTGGCGTTTGAGAACCCGACAAACAAAGTTTTTATTTCTTAAAGTAAAGATTTACGTTATAAGCCTCTTTCGTATATAATGTGACCTTAGTAAAACGGTTATTATATTTTACTTTTAAAAGCTGAATTACTATTTTGAAAGCCTAAAATCGGTGAAATCTCTTGTGCGACATATTGTTTTCGGTTATCATTTATTTTTTCAAGGCTCCTGAATTCCTCCAACAAGTTCTACTACTGCACAGCAAGTTAAATTCCTCTTAAGTCGTTTTACCCCTAGGTTTGTAAGGAACCAAGTTTGGGTCCTTGCATCAACGTAATACTTTTGTATGGTTTATAATTAATTGCAAAGTGATTATTATCTGTTTTATGCAACACGAGAAAATTCAATGAAATCTTTTAAGGAAATTAAAATATAATTTCTTACGAAGGAAACTTGAAACAATATTATCTATACTCAGTGTGAACATCTAAGATTAATTTTATCGTTTCCGGTCTTATTTAATTTATCAAGAGTTGAACTATCAGCAATTTGTATAATTTAAACACCTTATCATTCGTATTATATTAATTTCATTGAACTGAAACTAAATTTTGTTATCAAGGGACAATAAAATAGGTAACGCAGTACAATGGGTGTCTATAAGTTGCTATGACAGTTCTTTTTGGGCGCCCCGTAGGTTCGTTTGCCATAAAAAAAACTTCGTGAAGGTTACCAAAAATTAGGTTTGACTACTCCAAGAGGAGCAGTCAAAAGTCAAGATCATTTATTTATTTAGGTAACACAATGTACACTTATGAACGTCAAAAAAGAAATTAAAGGCTTCTAATTTTACAGTTCCTGCCAGTTCTCAAATGAAGGGCGTAGGACGGAAGAGAAGAACTGGCAATAAACTCTCCGCCACTCTTTTTTCCGCCAAGTTTTACAGAGGAGAGTTTTATCTAAGCACCAGTGTTTACGTGTCTAGAATATTTTTGAATTCTAATACAGTTTGATTAGAAATTTAAACAAATTTATTCTCAATTATTCAGCATAGTTTTACAGAAAATCAAGCTATTCTTGGTACATAGATAATAAATGTCATAAGTTTATTAAATCCTCGTGCGAGTACTTTTTGCAAGTAAGTGTTATCAAGTGTGAAGTGCTGTGCACACAGATAACTTAGCTGGTCGCGTGCGAGCCGCGTGACGTAAGCAATGACTTTATAAGTGAGGGCAATTAATTTTGGACGCCATTACAATTATTTATGGGTTTAGATTAATGCCGGAAAGTCTATTTGTAATATGGGTTTTGTATATCCACGAAGAAGAGATAAAGGAAGATTTATACGTATTTTTCGATTACCCTGGCTCTATTAGGAAATATATGTCGAGAGCCAAAAACGATATCACTATATATGAACACTAACAATTATTTGATGTTTAAACTTAGAAAATAATAATAATTAAAGCTAATGTTGCGAAATATCCACATAAGTCCCGGGTTAAGTGGTCATAAAGTTATAAGTACTATGTAGTAAAATTCCAAATTAATATAATTTTATATATGTATACAGTAAGTTTTGCTTCAATATAAAACTTCAATTACACTCAAACTTAATGGCGTGTTACCCAAGACACGAAGTATCGCGTCATTAAAACGAAAATTACAAAATTATTAATGGAATTAACTATCATGATGGCTGCTTAGTAGCTAGATGTAGTTTTCTTGTTATAATATAATTTTATACAAAGTTTTAGCTTAGTTAAGATGATGTCTTTAGTATCTTGATATGACGAGGAAAATACGAGATTTAAAGAGAGATCTATTTGAGTTAGAAGTCTATGACTTTAGTATTTATGCAAGTTTGAGGCAATCTGTGCAAATAACAGGAGTATAGTACTAAATACTATTTGACAGTATGCAAAATAAAGTGTTTAGAGTAATCTGTGTAAAACATGACTTTCAGATGCGTTATAGAGAACAAAAACTTTAAACTATAAATAAAAAAATCAACAATGAAAAAATATTGATTTTAATACTTCAATCAGATGACGGTCACAGATTAGTTAAATTATAATGTACCATAGTAAATAGTCTTCGTCTGTCTTTTTCTAATACTGCCTTGTTTAATTACGTCAGATACTATTTAGATCAAAACCTAATGTGTATTAATTTAAGAATGATAATTAAC